TTCAATGACATTGTGATACAAGCAGCGGAATGCATACTGTGGGGGCACTCTATGGGACAAATGACCGAGTTTCTTCAACAAATGAATTGCAGGGAAATAATAGGTGAGGTTGGGGGTTTCTACCTATAGTTTTATGTATCAGCCATTTGCAAAGTATGGACCTTATTTGGTAAATAAAATTGAGGTAGTTGGGAAAACAGGAAAATCTGAATCCTGCCTGGATATTGAATAATTTTTTGTTGTTAGTCTTCACCCAAGGTTATTTTTTCCATTGATTTTTTTTTTTTTAAAGAGAGAGTAGAAGGGAGGGAGGGAGGGAGGGAGACAGAGAGAAAGAGAGAAGTATCGATGTGAGAGAAGTATCGAAGTATCAATAGCGATTGGTTGCCTCCTGCACGAGCCCTGACTGGGATGGGGATTGAACCTGCAACCCAGTTATGTGCACTTGACCAGGAATCAAGCCTGATATCCTTTAGTCCGAGGGCTAATGCTCTAACCACTGAGAACACCGGCCAGGGCTGGATATTGAATGATTTTAAGGAATTACTGTTAACTGTATTAGCTGAGATGATTGTGTTACATTTTTAAAATGTCTTATTTTATAAAGTGGTGGTAAATGGGGTGAGATTTTTGCTCTCAAGGGGACATTTGCCAATATCTAGGGACATTTTTTGGTTGTTACAACTTGGAGATGGGGGTGTGGTGCTATTGGCAGTTAGGGATGCTGCTTTAAACATTCCACAGTTCACAGGACGGCCCCCACAACAGAGAATTATTCGGCCTAAGATGTCCATAGTGTCAAGGTTGAGAAACTGTTTTAGAGATACATGCTGAAATATTTCTGGATAAAATGATATATCTCGGCTTTGCTTCAAAATAATCTAGGGGAAGGCAGGAAGCGGATAAGGCTACAGATGAGTTGATAATTGAAGCTGGATGATGAATATATGAGAGGTGGTTTACTATTCTATTTTTTGATTTGTTTAAATGCTTTCTTAATACAAAGTTTAAAAAATATTCATATGTACTAAAATCTGTATCTTTTAATACTCTTGGTTGTTTTGTTGAGAATGCAGAATATATAGCAGGTGTATTCTGATACACCTTCATCTGATAAGTGATGTTTTTCTCTCTCCTTTGTTTGCAGATTATTGCTGTGGCAGCTTTGGTCCATCACAGCTTTGCGTTAGATAAAGCATCGCCAAAGCCTCCCTTTCAGTCCCACTTCTGTGGTATGTATTTTTTTTAGCTGGTTTACTGATGGCTTGATTTTAGTTTTTTTAAATTTTTTTCTCCAACTGTCAGATCAGTCACTTGTTTTTTTAAATTGTTTTCAAAAGTAATGAGTGTTGTATTGGATTGGTTGCTTCTTATTCAGCTGGTTTATTTAGTTCTAAGAGAAGTCAGAAGGCAGTTTGATATCTTTCTTTTTATTTTTTGTTCTACTGGTTACTGTATTGGTATGCAGTAGTTTTTTCCTGGGTCAGACTTATGCTTTAACTATTTTCTTTTCATGATGTCATTCTAAAAGCCTATCATAAAAGCCTGGCAAAAGTTTTCTGTTATAAGGGAAGATGCCAAGCAATAAGCAAATATTTAACCTATTTGGGAGGAGTTACAGTAATATCAAATTGGTGTTGGGTTGTGCTGTGTGTAAAATTCAATGGGTGAAACAGTCCCACAGATTTTGCATGTCCAGAGTCTGTCTCCAAAAGCATTCTGGCATAATCCATGATAACAGCTTAGTCAGTTAAATCACCACTTTTTTTGTTTGTTTGTTTTTTAAAAAGCATAACACAATCGATCGATTATGTTTCCTAGTTGTTGTTTTTTTTTCCAGCCCAGAAACACATGAACTGGAGGAGCATAGTATGATGTATTATTATTGTGAAGTTTACCTTTATTTTTTCTAGTTTTATTGAGAAATAATTCATATACATCACTGTATAAGTTTAAGGTGTACAGCATGATGGTTTGATTTACATATATTGTGAAATGATTACCAAAGATTTACCCTTTAAGTGGGGTGGAAAACATGGAACAAAATGATGAAAATAAACTGGAAACTATGTGGAAATGAACAATCGTTAGGTCATTTCAATATACGTTTATTTACCTCCTCTTTGTGTGCAGTCGTGTAAACAGCTATGGTGAATGGCAAGGAACTTATTTATAGTGTGGTGAGGGAAGCTTTGGTCATCTTTACTTGTCTAACTTTGTGGTTGGAGTGAGTTTCTCCATTGTATGCTAGTTGAAGCTTTGGTGGTAGGGCATTTCCTTTGGGAAGGACTAATAAACATCCTCCATTTGACTTAGGTAGCAAATGTTCTGTCTAAGCAGTTTCAGTAATTGTAGGGACTGAGGGTTCTGTGCTTGACTATTTTTTTCTTTCTTTAGATTTCCTCTTTCAAACTTGGAAGAGACTGAGATAGTCATGTAACATTGTATTTTATATATACAACATAATGATTTGATATTTGTATATGTTGTTAAATGATCACCACAATAAGTCTAACATCTGTCACAGTACATAGTTGCAATTTTTTTTTCATGGATAACTTTTAAGATCTAATTTCTTAGCAACTTTTGAATATGCAATATATAGTAGTATTAACTGTAGTCACCATGCTATACATTACATCCCCATGATTTACTTATTTTATAACTGGAAGTTTGTACGTTTTTGACGCCCTTCTGTCATTTCACCCACCATCCACCCCCACCTTTGGCAACAACCAGTCTATTCCCTGTATTAATTCAGTTTGTTTTTAGCTTTCACATATAAGTGAAATCATATAGTATTTGTCTTTCTGTGACCTATTGTAGTTAATATAATTCCCTCAAGGTCCATCCATATTGTCACAAATGTAAAGATTTTTTTTATGGCTGAATAATATTCCAGTGTGTATGTGAATATACACACACTACATTTTCTTCATTCATTCATTGATAGGCACTTAGGTTGCTTCCATGTCTTGGCTGTTGTAAATAATGCTGCAATGAGCATAGGGGTGCATATGTCCTTTTGGGTTAGTGTTTTCATTTTCTTCAGGTAAATACCCAGAAATAGAATTACTGGATGATATGGTAGTTCTATTTTTAATTTTTTGAGGAATCTCCATACTGTTTTCCATAGTGGCTGCATGAATTTACATTCCCACCAACAGTGCATGAGGGTTACCTTTTTCCCACATCCTTGTCAACACATGTTACTTCTTGTCTTTTTGATGATAACCATTCTGACAGGAGCGAAGTGACATCTTGATGTGGTTTTGATTTACATTTCTCTGATGATTAGTGATGTGTTGAACACCTTTTCATGTACCTGTTGTCCATCTGTATGACTTCTTTGGAAAAATATCTATTCAGATCTTCTACCCAGTATTTTTTTAATAGTTTAAATATTTTATTTGTTTGCGACTAAGCTTGCTAACAGTATATAATGAAAATGTACAAAGAATAACATTGCAGTTTTTTGTTAGATTTAAGTCAAAGACATTCATTAATAATATTCCAATGTGAATATTCCAGAAATTTCTCTAAGGCTTCTGATCAGAACTGTCTCTGAATATTACCTTACTTTGGAAGGTATTGGCATACATTTTAATTACACTCAGAATTTTTCAAAATAAGCTATAATTTAAAAGAAACTATTCTATATTCAAATGAAAACAATTACAATAGAACTTTCCTTTCCAGAAACAGTAATAAATGGAACAAGGCATTTTGTAAAAATCAGTCACAGTTAAATTGTCCATCCTAATTGTCTTTGTTTTCATCTAGTCATGGAGATTCAGTAAGTGCCTTGGAACAGTATTGAATTCTCTTAGCTTGTGTGTGTTACTTTAAAATTTGAACTCAACTGGGATTAGAAGGCTATCAAAATATATGTATGTTTCAGGATATTTGACCTGCCATTAAAAAACAAAACAAAACAACAACAACAAAAAAGATAAATGTATACTTAACTTCCACTTCCTCAAAACAGAGGCTACTTTCTCTTCCTCAGACTTGGAAACACGGTGAAGAACAGTCTGTAAGCAGCTTTGGGGGGCGGGCTGCCAAAACAAAGCTCAAGCAGTTGAACATGGACACCTCTTAAAAGAATTTGGGAGAACCTGACCAAAGGATCCAAAAATATTTATAACAATTGATACAAAGGGGAAGTGGCTCCTTCCAAGTAGCAGTGCCACTGGGGCCTGGCCCAGCCCATGCTCACTTCTTCTTTGCTCCCAAATAAACCATCGTGCCCCTGCTCCAGGGGAGACTTTTTCTTTGTAAAGGTTCAATGGCCAGGGAGCCCTTTGTGTGAATGAGGTGAGCACAGACTCCACGTGGGTATTTTAAGGCTTGGAGTCAAAGTATCTTTCCAATTCCTCACCACACATTTATTGACCTAGGACCTAAGACCTTTGCTATGTCGTAATCACATCTAATGTCCATCCTAACATATGACTTATATTCTGTGCCTGAAAACAGTCCCTGCACATAAAACAACCCACTGTTACAACTTATATGCTCATAAAACATGAATGATCTTCTGTAGGTCAAGCAAATGTTTTTAATCATAATTGTCATGCATCAAATTCACAGTTAGAATCCCCAAGATCAAAAAATTTTGCACAACACAAATAATAACTTAAAAACACATATACGCATATGCTCGTACTCCCTTTTTACAGAACTGTGCTTTGGAAAACTCCGCTTGTCGAGTGCCACTGAGGGCATGTTTTGCTAAACTGCCACTCCAGGTATTTTGTTTGGAAAATCTATTACAGTAGGGCACAGCTGTTTATTGGATAAGCAGGAAAGAAGGATATGCTTGTGGCAACCAGAAAGTTTTAAAGTCTTTCAAGTTCTATAAACTGGACCTGCAGAAACCTTTTAAGTGCTCTCAGGATGCAAAGTTGGAGCGGAAATGTGGTATCAAACCAGTTGCAAAAAGTGCACAGCAATTATCTCTTGAGGTCAGACCTGGTACCCAGATATGCAAGAAAGCTTCAGGACACGTATCTTGTGGGCCTTGTCCCACATTGCCGCATAATCTGATCATGTGTGAATTTCACAAAAGATTCTTATTATTCTGCTAGTTTGATATTGAAGATTTGCTCATACTCCTCCCGAATTTTATCTTCATAGCCTTTTATGAGATGCTCACATATTATTCCAACTTGTTTGAGAGTAAAGATGGGTTGGTCCTCCTTCATCCAGGAGGAACTTGGAGAAGTAGGTGCTGTGAGTGCTGAGGAGTGAGGCTTACTTTTTGAAGTACAAGCTTCATTCTGATTAAGAACAACTTCTAAACGTCTCCACCTCTGATAATGACTACATTTTTGTTCTATGTTCTGAAATATTTGCTCTAGAGTTGGAAGGCACCGCTCGTTGCGGGGCTGGACAGGTTGCTGAAGAGTTGGGGGTGGCATCTGCATCTGGAGCGGCAGTGGCTTTGTGTCTGGGGCCCTGAGGCCTGGAGTGGGGCCGTACAGAGGGGTGCAGCACATGGGTCACTTCAGTGTCACCCTGCACACCATGCTGTTGATGGGCCAGGGACCAGGAGCGGGTGCGGTTGTGACTGCGGCACAACCTCTGCCTGCTCAGTTGTATTAATTCTTTATTTCTTTTGGATATTAACCCCTTATCCAGGTATATGATTTGCAGATATTTTCTCCCCTTTGGTAGATTGCTTTGCAGAAGCTTTTTAGTTTGATGTAGCTCCACTTGTTTATTTTTGCTTCTGATGCCTTTGCTTTTGGTGTTAAATCCAAAAAATCATCACCAAGACTGATGTCAAGGAGCTTACCATCTGTGTTTTCTTCTAGAAGTTTTATGGTTTCAGGTCTTATGTTTAAGTCTTTAATCAATTTTGAGTTAGCTTTTGTGTATGGTGTATGATAGTAGTCCAGTTTCATTCTTACGCATGTGGCTATCCAATGTTCCCAGTACCATTTCTTTTTGGGTCCTTTGTCATAAATTAATTGACTATATGTGCATATATATATATATATATGTTTATTTCTGGGCTTCCTATTCTGTTCCATTGAGCTATGTGTTTGTTTTTATGCCAGTACCATATCATTTTGATAACTATAGCTTTGCAATATAGTTGCAAACCTGGAGGGCGGTGTCTCCAGTTTTATTCTTCTTTTCAAGATTGCTTTGGCAATTGGGGGTCTTTTGAGGTTCCATACAGATTTTAGGATTGTTTGTTTTGGCTGTTCTTTTGAGGTCCAATAACATGATCAGTGGAAATACTTGATTCTCTTTACTCTTTAGAGATTGGGGAGAATTTATATTTAAGACAGTTTTCATTTGGAGACATGTTTGAAATTGGCTAAGATGTATGTTGGTTTATTATTTTTTTCATTCTTACAGTTGTGTCTAAACCAAAGGACTGTATTTTTCCATATGCTTTTAGTGAAGAAATAAAGAAAAAGGTAAAGAACTCATTTATTTTTTAATTATTTTTTATGTGTAACAGTACTATTTATTTATACAATACATTAAATACTAAACAGCATTTTTAAGTATTATTTATTTATATAATACATTAAATACTAAACAGCATTTTTAAATGTATGTTTCATTAAAACACACTAAATACAATTTTTCTTATGTGTACATTCACAGTTAAACCAGCAAAGCTTCTGCAAGGATGTAGCTACATACAGTGTGTGTGTGGGCACGCTTTTGTACTAAATGCTTTATCTCAATTATAGTGATTTATTTATTATTATCATTTTTTTCTTTATTGATTTTTTTTTGGGGAGAGAGAGATAGAAACATCAATGAGAGAGAACATCGATAACCGCCTCCTGCATGCCCCCACTGGGGTTGGGCCCACAACCTGGGCATGTGCCCTGACCAGGAATCGAACCGGCGACCTCTTGATGCATAGGTCAATGCTCAACCACTGAGCCACACTGGCAGTGCTATTTATTATTTTTAAAATTAATTAATTTTTGTTACAGATGTTTCTCCTTTTCCCCCATTGATACCCTCCTCGTTCCTGTCCCTCCCCTTTCACAGTATTATTTCTTTTAAATATGAAGCATCTATTGTTTAGATTGAGAAAAGGAAGATGGTGTGGATTAGTAGAAACAGGCCATTTTACATTGATTGATTAGATCTGTTCTTGCTGTATTGAACTGTGACATTAACCCATTAAAATGAATTAGAAATGTAAAACTAGAAACATTGTTTAGCAGTGTTTAAATGTTAAACCATTTAAAAGTAGTGGGGTTCTATAGTGTATAAGTAGATGGATAGGCTCAAACTCTCCTTTAGATAGCTTAATAGGAAGCTTTTCCAAAATGCACGATAATGTGATTACTGCTTTGGGAAAGTGTAGGGTAGAGCGCTGCACCTCCCCTTTCCCTCTCCAAGTGCAGTTGGGAACGCTGTGGTTATTTTTTAAAATTTTTTATCCTCATCTGAGGACGTTTTTCTATTCTTTGTTCAGGTAGAGTGGGAGGGAGAGAGAGCAAGAGAGAGAGAGAGAGAAACTTCAATGTAAAAGGGACACATCAAGTGGCTGCCACCCATATGACCAACCAGGGACAGGGACAAACTGCAACTGAAGTACATGCCCTTAGGGGGAACCGAACCCGGGTCTCTCCGGACCACAGGCTGATGCTCTAACTGCTGAGCCAAACCGGCCAGGGCGGGAACGCTGTGGTTATTAAAGGGACATGTATTGGCAAGGTTGATATGGGCTTTTCCCAATAGATCAGTGATTTCTAAACTCTCAGTATACTCCATAGAGAAGTTTACTCCCAGTATACTCCATGGGTCCTTAATGAAAAGGGTGGGGGTGGATTAGGGAATTGGATATTGTAGTGAGTTTTTCACAAAAGTAAATGTATTTGATGTAAAGGATCTCTTTTTGAGGGTGTATGTTGTTTCTTTTATGAAATGACAGTGTTGGTAAATTTGTAGGTTTTTTTTTTAATCCTCATCCGAGGATATTTTTTCCTATTTATCTTCAGCTAGAGTGGGGGGGGGGGGAGAGAGAGAGAAACATCGATGTGAGAGAGACACATGACTGGCTGCCTCCTGCACGACCCTGACCAGGGTCGGGACAAACCCAACCCAGGTACGTGCCCTTAACTGGAATCGAACCTGCGTCTCATTGGTCCCCAGGCCAATGCTCTAACCACTGAGCAAAACTGGCCAGGGTTGTCTTTTTTTTTTAATGTTCTCACTTGACAAAATTAAAAGTTAGCAGCCTTGTCACTTTCCACTTATTTAAAATTGGATTGAGAAGTCCAGTAGCCTGGTGGTACTGTTAGACTAGGCTGTTATTTGTGAAGTGCCCTGAATTACCTATCCAATAGAATGACCAGGGAAATTCACTCCATTACAGTCAAACTGATATTTTTTAGCCAAGCTAGTTATAGAAAACATATAGCCATCAACTTCCATTTTAGGAGAGTCTTAATAAATGGCTCTTTTGAATACCTGATTTATAGTTAGTAATCCAAGTGGAAGCATTTTGTATGAAATACATTTTATTTATATTTAAGATACTTGTAATTCTTAAATGAATGTTTGCTTTTAGTTTAGTTTCTTATTTATATGTTCCTACAACACTATTTGATATTAGTTTATACAATCCTTGGAACTTCTTTATGTGGTAAATACATAAACAGTGAAGTCTAAGAAAGTAGGTAATGTTTTTGATAGCTATTCTGATTCATGTTATAATATGTGTCCAGATGCACAAGTGTGTCCCTGTGGAGGGACATTTCTGCCCTTGATAGTGCTCAACACTTAAAATTTTTCTTCATTCACACTCATTACCAATATGAGCTCCTCAGAGACTTTGTGCAATTAAGGCAAAACCTAGAATCGGGAATTTTACTGCTGCATTTAGTTTTGAGCTGGGTGGTTTCTTTTAGCTCTAAGAAATCTTACCCTACCCGAACAAGAAAACAAGGTATAGTACTTGAGAATAAAGAGTAAGTGACTGGTTTGTTTTTATCTAACAGAAAGTGAAGGTTGAGATTGCTGCAACAGAGAGAACACTATTGGGTTTTTTCCTTGCAAAAGTTCACAAAATCGATCCTGATATCATTGTGGTAAGTAGACGTTTGATCATGTCATGAGGAAGTGCTTCATTCCTTTGCTATGTCAGTGTGACTTGATTAGCACTTTTTGAGCAGCAAAGAATCTTTTCAGAGTGAAAGAACCCTATAGACTGGTGGTAATTGCTGTACTTGCTGCTAACAGAAAGGGGGAAAATATCAGCCTGCTGTAAGATAGTATTTTTCCTCTAATAGAAAGGCAACTTATGAATTATTATCAAAGTTTTGGTACTCCACTTATTTACACTTAGAGATCACCAGCCTGTAAGTTTATAAACTTGGGTCAACTGTTGGTATCCAGAATTTTGGCATTGTGGTCCAGCTGTATGGTGATCACAGGAGTTAATTCACTTGGTTTGGTGTCAGTCCCCAAAGTGTAAGTATTTTAAGTTTATGAACTCAGTGGATCTCTTTGATATATTTCCTTTAGAGCTCAGGGCCAGGAATCTTTTTTTCTCTTGATGATTGGGTGTGCTCCCATGAAGTAGTAAGTGGTAATAATTAGTTGAGTTGTCTTTGCCCCAATTCTTTTTTTTAAGTTTTTTTTTTAAACTTTCAATTTTTATTTTGTATTGGTTTTAGGTGTACAGCTAAGTAATTAAACAGTTGTGTACTTTACATAGTGTTCCCCTCGATATTTGCAGTACCCACCTGGCACTATGCATAGTTATTACAATATTATTGATTCTATTTCCTGTGCTTTACTTACATCCCCGTGACTATTTTGTAACTACTACCAATTTGTGCTTCTTAATCCCTTTGACTTCTTTCACCCAGTCTCACAGTCCCCCTCCCCTCTGGCAACCACCAGTTCGCTCTCTGTGTTTATGAATCTGTTTCAATTTTGTTTGTTCGTTTATTTTGTTCTTTAGATTCCACATATAAGTAAAATCATATGGTATTTGTCTTTCTCTGACTGGCTTATTTCACCGAGCATAATACCCTCTAGGTCCATCCACGTTGTCACTTTTACCCCAATTCTTAAAAATCATGAAGTAACATTTTATGTTTCCTCTGGCCTTCCTTAGTTTGTAGATTCCTTGATAGGAGTCCTTCCTGTTGTCTTTTTTTTTCTTCTGGGTTTGGGAGGAAAGTAGGATATACATGCCTACATTTTAAATGTGCTGTTGGTAATTTGGTTACATTGAAGCCTTGCAAACATGTTTACCATGTAATTCTCTGCTTTCATTTTTGCTCCTGGACACCTTTCCTGACAATGTATAGCCAAAGTACTGAGAGCCTGTAGGTTGTTACCAGTGTCTCTGCACCCACTTCCCTTATGGTATTTCAGGACCCGTCTTGAAAGTGTCAGGAAGAGTTTATTCACAGTGCTCTACTGTGGTTCTTAGCACTAGGCCCTAACTCAGTCTCCACCAGCAGCCTTTCTCTTGGGTCCCCAGGAGATGTCATGGTTCCTG